AGTTTAGAAAAATTAGAATTTACGCTAGGGCTTGGAGAGGAGAAGAAAGAAGAGAAAAAGAGGAGAGAAATCAAGAAATCGCCAAGAACGTTCAAGCCTTGCGAGTGGAATTCATCGGGGGTGATCCCTACAAGGTATGTGAGATCACATAGTGTTGGGTTAGTTCGCCCACATGCCAATCTTGTTTCAATACAACGAATTTAGGTTATTTGAATGAAAAGAAAGTGAGTTCTTGAAGAACATTGTTGAAAATTTGTTGAGTTCTTGATGGTAGTGTTGTTGAAGTCTCTTGTTGATTTGATTCGTGTTTCCGAGTGAAATTTTGTGTTGAATCTATTGTATATTGAGGGTATAAATGATTCTAAGTGTTTGGGGAAAGAACCATTGAATTTTAGAGGGTTTAGAGATGAAAAACAAAGTAGAAAAATCGGAGTTTTCTGGGCAAGGGATTGGGGAGCCGCGCCTGCCAGAGCGCCACAAAAGTTCCTCTGAACTTTGGCCTCTGGCGCGTCGCGCCAGCCAGAGCGCCACAAAAAGTTCTCTGAACTTTGAGGGCTGGCGCCCCGAGCCTCTCAGAGCGCCAGGGACGCCAGTTCTCCCAATTTTTCCCCCACCCTTTCGTACTAGTTCCTAAGTGATGTACCTATGTTTCCTAGTTAATTCTAACACTCCAAGGTACATCTAAACATCATGAAATCATCCATAAACATGAGATCATGAACCTTGAATCCATAATCCAATTCAAGGAAAGTTAAGATCAAAGTCAAGAGAAGTAAGAGTCAAGTCAAGATAAGTTCTTAGAATTTTCCAAAAGTCTTTTCTAAATGTTTTAACTTTGTTTTAAGACTTAAAGTTCAAGTTGAGTAAGGAGTAAAGAGTAAAGTTTGAAGTTTATTTCTTCAAAAGTATATGGGGACTAAGTATTCCCGAAGAGATTTAAAATGTTTTGACATTTAAATAAGAACGGAAACTGAGATTTCCAAAGAGCTTATGGGCTAGTTTTCAGAAAAAGTAATCGCTTTCTAAATGAAGCAAGAGGGGAAACTTTGGTTTCCAAGATAGCCTTTGAGCTAAGTTTTTTAGCACTAATATCAAATCACAGAAGAAGTATGTTTCTAAAACATAAGAGCCAATATATTTTGGGAGTAGTATTGAGCACCGAATTGGGGACGAGCATAAGTTTAGATAACTCACGTCACCATAGAACCATGTAGCCACCATGGGTAGAAAAGGGTCATACTTTTTAGATAAATCCTTTTCGAAATAGACTAGTGGATCCATTAGGCAGTTCAGGTTCTATACCTTTGGCCGAGTATAGGATGCACTGGCAGCATGAGGTAGATCGTTGTATCATCACTATAGCTCTTATGTGATGGTTGTCGGTTAGAGAAACTCCCACAGAAGTTATTGTATTTTTATATACATCAGTTTATTGTATTTTTATATACATTTCAGAGTTATGTTGTATCATTATGCATACATAGAGTTGACATCATGTTTTTAAACAACTTTTCTTTATATTGCATTTGTTTAAACTGCTTTATATTGAAATGAGTTCAGTTAAGTATTCATGATTTGAGAAGAGCCAAGGTAAGTGTTTCTTTCAAATTCTTTTTCCAGCCTATGTTGTTTTAGCATTCCAACTCGCATACTCATACATTCAATGTACTGATGCCAGTTGGTCTGCATCTTATTATGATACAGACACAGGTAACTAGGATCGGCATTCTAACGCACCGTTGATCCAGTGAGCAGTTCAGAGTTAGTCGGTGAGCCTCTTTGTATTCCGGAGGATCTATTTTCATTTCTTTCTAGTTAGTTCATTAGGATGTTGTGGGGTTTGTCCCAACATCCATCTCAGTTGTTTTAGAGGCTTCATAGACAGTCACATGTTAGTCCTTTGAGTCTTTTCATTATCATTTCTTATGGTTAAGACTTGGGTTGCCACTTTTGGCCAAGTTGAATGTTTAATTTTTAAAACATTCTCAGTTATTTTATTATCCAGTTCAGTTAAGTTCATTGATCATTATAGATATGAATATTGTCTTCCACTGAGTTAAGTAAGTCAGGCCAAGGGTTCGTTTCGGGCCGATAATGGCTTCCGAGTGCCAGTCCCGCCCAGGGTGTAGACTCGGGGCGTGACAAACTTGGTATCAGAGCACAGAGTTCAAGTGTCCTAGGGTGTCTATGAAGCCTTGTCAGTAAGATCTTGTTTATGGTTGTGAGGGCCCACTTCTATAAACGAGGGACTACAGATACTTAAAAAAAGTTTCCCTTTTTTCATACTCTTAATCGTGCAATAGAGCTATGTAATAGAGACTTATTCTAACTCGTGCATTTCTCAGAATCATTCGACTACCTATCATACTAGAGGTGGTTGAAAAATAGAGTCAGTTCTTTGTCAATAAGTTGTTCTTAGCAAGAGTCTTGAGGAAGTCATGAGATTCCAGAGGGGCTTGAGAGAAGCCCAAGAGTTAGTTAAGTGTTCAGTTTCAGAAGAATGCACTCATATTCATATGAATCATGCGTTTGAGCTAAAAGCGAGTTGTACTCTTTTCCTTAAGCCTTGTTTCAGCTGAGATCCTTATGAGGAGGTATGTTTAGATCTTGGGTAATATTTCCATCCCAAAAGGTAACATGAGTTACGAGATCATAAACAGTAGTAGTGAAAGAGCCTAGAGTTAGAGGAAAGTATGCAGAGGTTTAGTGATTTAAGAAAGGGAGATAATGTTTTGAAGAGCTATATTACTATAACCATGCACCTAATATGTTTTTAATGAAGAGTTTTCCCTTATGGGTAAAGTAAGAGTTGCTAGTCAAGATAAGATAGAGTATATGTTTGTTAACCAGAATCGATTTGATGTCGATGTGCCATCACATTAGAGGAGACTAAATTCATGTGTTGAATAAGAGAGCAAAGTATTCATGAAGGGATGGATATAAACCAGGCTTATGATATGTTTGAGAGGGTCTTGATGTACAGAAGGTTATAGAACTGATTAAGTAATAAGGTATAGTATAGTAGGCGAGCAATCATATTGATATTCGGGTTTAGTCATAAATATTAAGCTTGAATTCGAGATGAGTGTCATGATAAAAAGAATGAAAACATGAGGGTGATGATGTTAGTCTTGATCTTTGATCTTGTAGACTTGGCATAGAGTAGGTGAGGAATTGAAATGTTAGCTCCAATGAATATGAGTGGTACAGGTGAGAGACCCTAACCTTTAGATAAGGGCAGTGAAGTGTGGCTAAGTCACAAGAGTAACAAGAGCATTAAGAGGTGTATCGAGAGGGTATGTTACCAGATGAGGTTCTAATTAAGTGATAATTTTTCATGTGTGCCTAGATAGAATAATTGAGTTGAGTATTTCAAGTCGAGTATCATATCTTGAGTATCTTATCGTTGAGTACTTCTGAGTTGAATAAGTTTGAGTAGTTTTGAATATCCTTGAGTATTCCTTGAGTTGAGTAAGTTTGAGAAGAGGTAAGTAAGTTTCCTTTTTATTAAGTTTCAAGCTTATGTTTATGCTTTAGAATTCCTCTTACATTCTCGTACATTCCACGTACTGAGCCATTTGGCCTGCATCTTCTCATGATGCAGACACCGGTATTCAGGATCATCAACAGGCGATTCGTTGATACATCCGGGAGTTCGAGTTAGCTTTGGTGAGCCTCCTTGATTCCGGAGGATTTCATTTACTTTTCAGTTTAGTCAGGATGTCGTGGGTCTTGTCCCGACTTCCATCTTTATCAGTTAGAGGCTTCATAGATAGTCAGTATAGTTGAGAAGTTTGTATTATTCATTTATTTTATTAAAGTTTTAAAGACTTAAGTTGCCTATTCCTCCGTCGCGTACACCTTTTTCGTCCACCCGCTCCTATTGTGACTATACGCGCACGACAGCTGGCAAAACTGATGATGTGGATTTCCACCTGGATAAATAATAGCCACCTAGATAAATTAATATTGCAAAAAATAAATTTCTTAAATTTAAAATTCATTGTTTAAAAGTTATATTTGAATAAGGGCTTATTTCGCGGAACTCCTTTTGGATTTGGGTTTTTCTAGACGTGAAGTTGGTCGATTAAATTTCAAATTTGTCTGAAATTCTTACCAAGTAAGTGTTAATCTTTGTTTCCTTTACTTTTCATTTACATTTTGCCCTATTTTTCGTTTAAAATATGCCAAATATTAAAATTCATTGTTTAAAAGTTATTTTTGAATAAGGGCTGATTTCGCGGAACTCCTTGAATTTCAAATTTGTCGGAAATTCTTACCAAGTAAGTGTTAATATTTGTTTCCTTTACTTTTCATTTATATTTTTCCTTATTTTTCGTTTAAAATATGTCAAATATTAAAGAAAAATGGAGATTTTACGTTTTTTCACCGTTGTAGCTTTGTGATGTGGCAAAAAATCACTTCCTCACGCGCCTAGTAGAGTGTGTTGTCAATTTCTACGCCAGGTGGACGAAAAAGGTGTACGCAACGGAGGAATAAACAAGTTCGGGGGGTAATTAAAACGGAATTTAGTTTAGGTGTACACCATATAAAAAGCTTCAAGTTCGGGGGGTAATGAGTACTTTTGCCAAAAATAAATAAGAATAAAAGTAAACATAAAATTCAAAAAAAATTAATATGAAATAAAAGAAATACTTATAAATTAAAGTTTTAATTATTTTTGTTGCCTCTCACTCTCTCAAAAAGAGTGAACTACACCTTTTTTGCCACCTCAGCATTCAGGGAGCAAATAATTATACTTTAAAATAGTTCAGGGAAGTAATAGGTTTCTCATGAAGTATAAGTGTGTAGTTGGTAATCTGGTAATAGATTAAGGGGGTATTTGACTATTTTCTCTAAAAATTAATTGCAAATAATCCTCATTATATATGATAAAGTTTAGAACTAGGCACATTGAGCTTTATTTTCAGAATGTCAACTCAAAAAAAATGATCTTCCATAGTCTTGACAATTATGGAATATCAAAATACAAATAAAAATCATGGAATTATTTCATCCAACATGCAATCTCTAAGTTTGATTTCTGTAACATTCATTTCTGCCTTGTAAACAACATCACAACACTCTCTCCTACTACCGTCCTGGAAAAAAGAAGAAGAAAAACAAATGTTAATAATATATTTCCTTCGTTTAAAAAAGAAGGATCTATTTTTCATTGTAGTGTGTTTCAAAAAGAATGACTCGTTTCTGTTTTTGGCAACACTTTAATTTTGGATTTTTACGTGGCATGTTTAAGGTTACAAGATTAAATGTCATTTTAATATATTTGATAGGCATAATACATAAATGCGTCATTTAAGTTGACATCATTCCACATTTATGCCCTCCAACTTCAGGCGTGCATAAGTAGACACTTAAACTTATATAAAATTGAACAAGTAGACACATAAGTCCTACGTGAAATAATAGGACACCACGTAGGTAGCAAATTGTCGTGTAGAATGCTACATAGGACGTGTGTATCTATTTGTTCAACTTTATATAAATTTAAGTGTGTACTTGTGCACACCTAAAGTTGAAGGGCATAAATGTGATCGATCTAAGGCCAAGTTAAAGGGCATAATTACATATTATACCTATTTGATATAACTTTGAAAAGTCTTCTTTATTGTATCAAGTCAAACTATATCATTCTTTGTGAAACGAAGGAAGTACTCACCCAGTCAAGCTTCTTCATGGGAGAAAGGACATGTATTTCTGATATATGATTTGCAGAGTGATTGCCATTTGATAAACAAGGTGGCAATTTTCTTGAATATCTCCTAGTATAATTTGTAACCAAATTATAACTTCCACTACGCATATTCTTGATGGACTCAAAGAAAAGAACATGTGGAGCGTCACAAGGATTATTATTAGGCAACCTAGTGTTAAAAACAAAGAAAGGTTTATACAATTTGCTCCATGGAATAAAAGTTTGTAAAGGTATTTGTATAAAACTTGGTGGAAAAATGGACTCATAAATTTGAATAGAGTAACCCCATGATATTGAAAATGTCCAATTTTTGGGCTTGTGATAACAAATGCTTTGTTGTAAGAGTCTTGATTGAAATTGTCCATTTTTTGCAACTTTCATTAAATGGTTAAGTGATTGTGAATGATTCATGAAGGGAAATATTGGGTCTACATAATCAAGATGGTGAAGGGAAATTAAAGGAGATTGTGGATGTGCTGAGAGAAATCCAGATATGTCTCCATGTAGGTCTATCTGCAATAACAAAGATATAATATGCAATATATGAATTTACCTTATAAACACTACAACAATCTTTAATTAAAGGTCTCGAGAGTTTAAATATTAGAATTGAAGTTGTCTTTGGTAAAAATCGGTTTACCCCTGATGGGATTTTCGGACATAAATTCGAATAAATTGGGCCTAAAGTGTGAGTCAGACACCAGATGAGGAACAAAAAAAAGGGTAAAAAAAACAAGATAGATTATATTTTAGGGAAAAGACTCAATATGTCATCAAACTTTGAAAAAAAACTCATCTATGTCATTCGTTAAAAGTTTGACTATTTATGCCATTTCAATTTGAAAATAGGCTCATCCATGCTATTATTCGCAAATGAAAATGGCATAGATGAACCAATTTTTTAACGGATGGCATAGAGGAGCCTTTTCTCAAAGATCGGTGACATATTTGAGCATTTCCCCTATATTTTATAATCTTTTAGTTAAGTTATTTTGTTCTTACAAAATCTTCTAGTATGTTTTATAAAATGATTATTTTTCTTTCTTATGACTATATATAACATATCAAATAAAACAAAATGCCTTTTTAAAAATATTTTGACAAAATTTCTCATAGATCAATTTGGGTAACATATATATCAGCCCAACCCTTGGTGGACTGAAATGACCTGAACTAATAAATGTACGGGTCAATAATCAGCCCAAACTTAGACGCGTTGGGCGGATTATAATTTTGTGGACTAGTTTTGTCACTTCTACTTAAATCTTCTCTTTTCCAAAAAAGTTTAAGTTACCTAATAGTGCAACAAAAAAAATTACACTGACAATACATATAACTTAAGCTCGTTAAAAATACCTGATGGAAGCCCTTTTCTTGAGTGAGAGAAACACCTAAATCAGCCACACATGACTGCAAAATATGGTCACCTCCATAATAAGTTTGATACTTTTTGATACAAATATCCAAATTCTCAACCATTGCCTCCACAAGTGCATAACTAAAAGCATAACCACCACCACCAAAAGCCATATTAAATGAATGTGCAACGTTTGATGCATGTGTTTCTGAATTCATCCCAACATAAAAATATTTCCTATGATCATACTTTGACAAAACCTCAACCAAATTATCTATGAAAAAAATTGTGTCATCATCAGCCATAATGTACCATCTAGCACTCTTGTTCTCCATCTTAAATGTCTCTTCCACAACGCGAGCCATTCGTATGGTTTGTTGAATTGGATGCTTATCGTACATTTTGTATCTCGAGGTGTCTTCTGAGACCTTGAAAGGAGGACAAGAAGAGTAAGGCCATGGAAGCACTTGATGATCTTTTGGGAAGCTCTCGAGGAACACGAATCCACGTGTTATGTTTGGTTTCCACCAGGATTCAACGTAAGATATTCTGTTCTTCCATGTTCTAGATAAGCTTGTTATTCCGAATACTAGATGGCTAATATTGGTAGGAGTATCATCTTGTGTAATGTCATGACCTTTGAAACTCATCAAGTTGTTGAATATAATGATTGAGTTGCAACATGGATGGTTAGATAGCAAAATGTGGATTACATAGAGGATTAGACCTGAAATTAACAATGATTTGCATAATTTTCCACTTAATAAAACGGATAATTGCATAATCTTACGTCGAATTAGAGAAATCAAGTTTGTGAAAACCATCAAGGGATACCAATTTCTTGAAGAAAATAATGTGATTTGATGTAATTATAAGTAATGAGTGAAAGCTTGAAAATTTAAAGTAGAATTTTATGGGGTTTGGTCATAAGGATAACACAAGGTGCATGTTAATAATGAGACATGTTATTTTTCTCGTGTAAACTATATAATAAAGTAAGGTGTTGAATTAAATGTGAAAAGGTAACAAAAGAGATGTGTAGTACTATAAGTAGTTCAGTTTTTCTCGTGCCCTTAAGCCAAATGCACGAGTTATACACACTTTTTTTTCGAGTCTGACTAATCCAGATTTGTGCGCTACTTTGGGAGATAAAGGATTTCCTACCAAAGGTGACTCCATATTATATATCAGGGGCTAAAACCCGATACTTCTATTTAAGAATGGAGGAGTACTTACGGAATAACCTCTTCTTGTTGCTATGAACACTTTTAGCATTGAACATTGCTTATTTTAGTGAGATTTTGGAAAATTTGCCAAAGGTAACTTTATATTGTTAACTAGCATAAATCTGACTAGGGGCGTACAAAACCGAACCGAAAACCGAACCAAACCGTAAATCGAGTCAAACCGGAAAAAAAACCCGACTAGTGGTTTGGTTTGACTTGGTTTGGTATTGGAAAAAAAAATCCGACTATATTTGGGTTGGTTTGGTTTTAACTTAAAAAAACCAACCCGACATTATATATGTAATTTTAAAATTTTATTTTATACATAAAAATTTTTACTTTGATATAATTTTAAAATATTCTTATACTATTTCATAGTTTTATCTTTTAATATATTATTTCAAGTTTAAAACTTAGAATTCGGAATGGTCCAATAAAGATTATAGTTCATAGATATTGATAATTATAATAAAACTTAAATCAAAATCAAATTAATACTAATGCAAAAAGAAAATCAATTCAACACTAAGAATGACAATAATATTGAATATTTGTTCTTTAGTTTTACATTGGTTTAGACAATTAAAATACATAATCTAATTTAATTGTCCTTAAATATTTAGTAATGTAACTAATACTTATTAAACTTATTTTAGCATGATTTAGTACTTTTAAATTATGATTATTTTCATTATGACTTTGCAATATTTATTTTATATGATGATTTCATTATTATTTTTTATTGAATATTTTAGTGTCATCAGTACTCATCTCATATTTTGTGTTATTTTCTTAAAAAACACCTTAGATAATTGTATTTTGGTTGGACTAAAGAAATATTTGGAGCACAAGTTAATTATATGTTTGTATGCAAACTTTACGGAAAAAAATCCAAAAATCTGAAAAAATCCGAGGTTTATTAGTTTGGTTTGGTTTATAAATTTAAAAATTTGACACAATGGTTTGGTTTGGTTTGGTATTTGAAAAATCCGAATTATATTAGTTTGGTTTGATTTATAAATTAATTTTTTTACACAAATGATTTGGTTTGATATTTGAAAAATCCGAACCAACCCGGTCATGTACACCCCTAAATCTAACTATTGCCAACAAGAACATAGGGTAGGATTTATAAATTATAGGGAAAAGGATTTGATATACCCTTCAACTTTGCGAATTAGAATTGATATACCACTTATTATAAAAGTGGTCACATATACTCCTTCCGTTACACAAATGGTCCACATATATCCTTTTCGTCTAATGAAAGTGAAAATGTTGATTTTAAATTTATTTTCTTGATTTTTTTTATAAAAAAATATACATGTAGGGGTATATTTGACTCTTTTCCAGGTATATAATTTGATCTTTGTCACATGTGAATTTTTTTTTGACTTCTTTGATTGAACGGCTAATTTTCATTCAAGAGTACTCATGTGCCTAATTTAAAGTTGCGGGGCTCAATCAATCTAATAGTTGACTAATATTATTTTCCAATATAAAGATACATTAGTACACCCTATGTAGCTTCTCCATTGATTAGCGATAATTTAACTTGTTATAGCAGGTTACTTACTACCTACCTACAATGAGTTTAAGTTCTATGCATCCATCGACAGAGTAAATATTATTTGAAAGTGATCGACAAAAATGAACAAGTGCCTTAAATGTTGCATTTGAGGCAAATATACACTAAGATCCACAGAAAATGTGCAGGGATTTACATGCTTTCTCACTCAGCCTCAGTTAAGCCATTGTTTTAACCTCATAATTAGGCTAAAATGATATATAGAAAATTAATATTTTGCCCTTCTCTTATCCATTCATCTTAATCATCAACATAGATGGTTTCTTGTTGAAACAGTCCACCAAAAATCTTCCTCTTCTCTGTTGCAGCAACCTCTGTTTGTTTAGCTGGTTTCGGAGCCTCCTTCGTTTTCGAAGCAAATGGATTCCTTGGAGGAGTTTTCACCACTGCTTTCTGAGCAGGCAAATTCTTGGCCTTGGCACGTCCCCTAACGGTAGCAACTTGAGCGTCTGATTCTTCGTTGGCCTTTTCAACAGCTGATTTGAGTTGTGAGCTGAATTTCTCAAATGAAAATCCTGTACTTAAGCCTTTTGCTTTGTCTAGTAGACTTTCAACAGAAGGAATGGAAGCTGATGACGCCTTCTCTTCAGGTTCCTTTGCAATGCTAGAAGCAGCTTTTGCTTCTTTCTTTTCGAGCTTCTTTGCTTCTTGTTCCTGCCTCTTGGATGCTTCAGCAGCTCCTCGAGCTTCTACCTCAGCTTTCGATTTTTCAAGGGCTTCTGCGTAGGCCTTTCTCCGACCATCCTCAGGAATGACGCTGTGTATATAATGTTTCACTCATTTAGATTATATGGCATCCAGAACTGGTACAAAGAGGATAAATCTCTGTATATACTTATCGTATTGTTTTGTTGTAGTTTCTGTTTTGTTACTATCTGTTGTTTTTGTTATTATTTGTTGCTTCTTGTACTTCCGTTATTTATTTCTTTGAACTTTTTTTTTCCTTGAGCTGATGCTTTATCGGAAATTGCCTCTCTACCTATATAATAAGGTAGGGGTAAGTTCTGCGTACACTCTACCTTCCCTAGACGACACTATGTTGGGACCATATGTTGTTGTTGTGCTGACAGAGTGAAAAGAAATAGTTTAACCTGTTTTATAGCAGGAACTCTTATCTTATTTTCCCAATTACTAATCCCACTTTTTATGGACGCTTACTTGTAGCTATCTTTTGGATGATCTGATGATTCGTTTACACTTTCAGATTTAGTACGTAGAAGTTAAACACCTAGAGAAATCATTCTTACGAGCACTAGTATCACCGAAATTTGGAAATGCAGTAATTGAGGAAAAAGAGGTATTTACCTAAAAAGTTCATCCACAGTCTTTGATGGTGCTGATGGATCAGCAAAGACTTCCACAACCTGTATAAAGAAATAACTCCAGTGGTTGAACATCCACATTATAACTAAAGAAGACCAGTAAAGGTTCACTTGCATAAATTCATTTCATTTGAACTTTTTCTTATCTTAGTAAACTTGTCAATTTAAATCCGGTAATCAACGTTTATTGTAATGTTATAATATGGGACTAAGACGGGCTTAAATGGAGCAACATGAGAGTGAGACTTCATATAACCGACCTCAACTTGTAGTTGTTGTAATGTTGCTTTACTTAAAAGGAGGAGCAGTCACTACCTTATTTTCTGCCACCGCTGTGTTGGAGAAAACATCTACAACGAGCTTAGCTATCTGAGACTTCCCCACCTGATGATTGACATAAAACACGAGATCATAAGTGATGACTTAGCTTATTTAAATCTATTTAACATGCGTAGAAAGCAGAAAAAGGAACCAATAAACCGAAGAGTATGTCATGTGACTAAATCCACAATAGAATATATGAACATGTTCAACATTAAAAGAAATTGCATACATTACATTACTTTATAGGCGTCAGCACCAGCACTTCCTTCAGCTGAAACAACGATTTTGTATGAGCTCTCAGGGGAGAAATCCTCTGTTAATTTGGTTTTTATGAGTGTATAGCTTAGATCTGTCTCCACTATCTTCTGCAGAAACTCTGCTATCGTCAACGGTTGAGATTTTGAGAACAGATTGTTGAAGAAAGATGTAATTCCATCGAGCACATTGTATGTAGAGCCTCCTGAAGAAGATTCATCATAGACTATGGCCACATGCCCAACACCAGCTAATTGTGCAGCTTGTATAACTTGTACAGCATCTGTTGTGGTGACTTCAGTCGCAGGACCGTTTTCTCCCTTACCAATAGTAACCACAACTTTGCTAGCATTTCCGATTGCCTTTGCAATCGATTCTGCATCTTGAAATGTGGATGCAACTGCATTCAGGCATTTTGACTCATCGTTAGAGATTACCTGCAATCATGCAACATGTATAGTCAGAAAACAACAACTCATTCCCTCAACCAATGTGAGACACTCTAACACTCCCTCTCCCCTCCCTCATGAAGTTGGACATCTAGATCGTGGACGATATAGCATCCAGGATCAATATTGTGAAACACAACAAACAAAGATGACTCTGATAGAGAAAAATGTACCTTGAACCTAATTCAACCAAAACGTTAGCTCATGAGTTAATATTTCCCAAAACCATATATGAAAATAGTTCATTCCTACAATCAATGTCGGATACTCTAACGAGTTCCGTATTTTGCAAGGACAAAGAGACTGACCTTGTAGCTAACGGCTAGACGAGCTAGCTCTTGTGCAGCACCAAGGTCAGAAACTCCAGCTCTGACACTATAACCTTCACGCAACAGCAACTGTGCAATGCGGATACCAGCTTGCCCAGTTGCACCAGCAACAAACACCGTTCCAGGATCCTTTGCCCTTTGCCTTCCAAAAGACAATCCAGAAGATGTGTTCGTGCTAGCAGGTATCAAAGACGTCACATCAGGTAACTTACCTGTTGAAGACACAGTATGATTAAGTAATTAAAAGTGTGCTCGTCTTCTAATCTTTTAGATAATACCAGTAACACAATTCAATAGACACCAGAGCACACTTTTACGGACATAATTAAGTAAATCCAAATGAAATGGCCACACAATTCAATATAATATCAGAGCAAGCAGACACCTAGTGTTCAATTCCCAATATGACATTAGAGCAAACACAAGTCCTGCATTCTAGTCTCACTGTCACCCATAATCAAAAAGAAACTTTACAGAAATAATAAAGTCAATTTACATGAGACGGACACATAATTAAACATGGTATCAGAACAAGCAGACATCCAGTGTTCAAGTCTCAAATAAGGCATTAAAGCAAACATCAGTCTGGCATCCAAGTCTCACTGTCACCCATTATCAAATTAAAAAAAAGACTTCTACAAATATAATTAAGTAAAGTTAGATGAAATGATCGCACAATTCAATATGGTATCAGAACAAGCAGACGCCTAGCCGTTCAAGTTTCAAATATGACATTTGAGCAAAACATCACTCTCACCCATTATAAGAAAAACACTTCCACATACATAATTAAGTAAATTCAAATGAAATGGTCACACAGTTCAACATTACCAAAAATAAAATAGATCAAAAAATAAAATAGATCAAATATTAAATGAGATGATCAGACAATTCCAACCATTACCGAAATCAAAGTTGAAGGGGTTGCCAGAATTGGTTGTAGTTTCTTGATTTTGTCCAGATTTTTTAGCAGAAACAGTGAATCTTGGATTTTTGAATGATAATCTTGGATGAGGTGTAGTTGAAAGGAGAAATGAATTTGAAGTAAGAGTTGGAGCCATGAGATATGAATTTTATTTTATTTTTGGAAAGAGATAGCAGATGAATTGCTAACTCTTTCTATTTAGTTACTATATTTTGCATGAAAAATTTGTGTTTTTTAAAAAATGAAATTCTATATCTGTGGCATTTGATTCTGGTCTCAGAACACAGTTTTTGGATTGAACAATTTTGTCCATTTGGATGGGGAATAAAGTGGATTTCCAATGAAATAATGCCACGTCAAATTTTATCTACAAAAGAAAATTTCAAGCCAGTCGTTTCTAATTGGTACAAAAATAGTGCAAATTTTCCATAACATTTTGTTAGATGCTAATTTATTGTGCAACCTTTCAAATTTTAAGATTCAACAAAATGTTTTTTTAATGTAATTTTTTTCATTTATTATTGGGATATGGTAGAAGTATCTAGACTATGACCGAAATCTCAGACACACGCTTTAACTAAACAAAGGTTCTATTACCCTCTCAACTCCATTTTTTTGTAATTATATTTTTGTAATTTGGTACACCTTTTTAGCTTACGTGGCATTCAAATATCTCTCACGCGCCTTAACTACGTTGAGTCACGGAGTGTACCACGTAAGTCAAAAGATATACAAAATTACGGAAAAAAAAAAGTTAAGGAGGTAATAAGACCTTAGTTTAGTTAAAATGTGTCCCTAGTATTTCGATCGTAGTCTAGGGGTACTTGTGTCTTATCCCTTATTATTTGAAAATCTTGAATTATCAATTACTATAGTTTAAAGTACTTTTTTTATGTAGTTTTTAAATATGCAAATTTTAGGTTTAAAAAACTTGAAAAGTTCAGGCTCAAACTCGTCGTTAAATTAAATTGTTTGACTCTCAAAATTCGAATGATTCTTCCCCGGGGAGATACTGTACTTTGTTTTGGTCTTGGTCTTGGTTTTATTTTATTTTATTTTTTGAGGAATGCTTAGATTTGGTTGTGGTAAAACTTGTTTTTAAATTTACCTGTAAAGGTTCTTCGTTTTTCTCAGGTTGCTGAGCAATAATTATCAATTAGATTTTTTTGCTCACCTACGGTACTTTGCCTCAATATTTTTATTTTATATTATTTTTTGTTCAGTGTGCATTCGGGAGTGACACTCCCAGCATGATTCTCTTCATACCCAGAGTTCGAACCTGAAACCTCCAGTTAAGGGTGAAATAATCTCACCACTTCACCTTCAAACTACTCCCTTCGTTCACTTTTATTTGTCATTTTACTTCTCGAGAGTTAAACTGCATGAACTTTGATTAACATTTTAAACTATAATTTTTTTCATCATATCAAATAATCAATATGAAAAGGATTACAACTTGTAGTGTTTTTCGTATAGTATTTGACCATCTAAATTAAAAGTTAAAAATATTAAATTAATTTAATTCAATTTAACTCTGAATATTAATTAAATTAACTTTGGTAAAGTGAAATACGACAAGTAAAAATGAAAGAAAAATAAGTACATAACGTTTTCTAGTGCCGTTTATTTTGGTAGTTGACCCTTATCTATTTGAAAAAACATGTGATCCAGCTTTTTTCTGGAACAGATAATATCTATAACAAAATATCTGTTGAAAATAATTATGCAGAAAGTGATTTAAATTTTGCACGATAATGATATTATTGATACTGTCCTTAAAAGTATCTGACCTATAGTAAAATAATTAAAAGTATCTTAGTTACTCCTCGAAATTTAACAAGATCTTCTAATTATAAACTAGGAGAGAAACAACAGAAAAATTAGAGAATCTTAAATTCCAAAGAAGCAGAGAAATAAAAGTACAAGAGAAGGTGTGTCATGTTCATCTACAAATTGAGGGAATGGTGTCAAATGGGCGAGTTTGATTGAATTTGAATGGATAAAAATAAATTAATTTAATAAATAAATGGGTTATTGATCCGCTCAAAAGTTACTTAGACTAAAATAAATTAGGCTAAAATGGGCTAAAAAAGTGGATCAAAACCCAATGCGTCCATTTTGTTCTTTTATAATTTTTTAGTACATAATAAAAAATAAAAAATTAGTATCAAATTAAAAAAAAAGGAGTTTTTTGAAAAAAAAAAATTGACAAAAAATTCCGTGGATCAATTTGAGTTAGAGAGTCCAAACGGATTGAGCTAATAAATGAACAAGTCAATAATCAATTCAAACTTGTACGGATTGAGCTGATTATGATTTCATGAGCTACTTTTGCCACCTCTAGATATAAAGAATTAAGAACTCGCCCTTCTCTCATTGTCAGCCTAATCAACATGTACCTACAGGAATCAAATGAGAGTCTAGTATGTACAGATTGGTTCCAATTTTAGTAGCCTACAATTGTTGAGACAAAAAGATAATCGAGAAATCTCCGAGAGCCAATGGTGCACGAATGGAAACTCAGTGGATAATGGACCTGACCGTTTATCTTTCTTCACTTAAATACCAAGTTTTTGACTGCGGTAGAATTGGAACCATGTCAATTGGTAATGATACCACCCTATTGTCAATTATAGCCAGCTATAACCAGGTTTCTTACTCAATCCTCTATCCAACATAAGCTTGCGCTGTCCCTCTGCGTCCTTCCAATTCCCTTCCAATGCTAACACATTTGCTAGCAATACGTACGTTGCAGGATCGTTGGGACAAAGTTCAACAAGCTTCTTGGCAGAAATCACAGCAAGTCCCTTATTACCGTGTAGTTGGCAAGCATTCAGTAGACTTTTATAAACCGAAGGTCCTGGTTCTATTGGCATATTGTTGATGAAGTCCTCTGCTTCACGTAGATGACCAGCACGGGCATACAGGTCGACTATGCAAGCATAATGCTCTAGCTTTGGTGGTGATAGAGAATTGTCATTCTTCATCAGATCAAAATATTTAAGCCCTTCGTCGAGCAGGCCAGCATGTCTACATGCCGAAAGAACAATAAGGAATGTGGTTAGATCTGGTTTAATATCACATCTCCTCATTTCTTCAAACATTACAATCACATCCCTACCATAACCATGATGTGCACACCCTGTAAGAAGTGAGTTCCACGATATGAGGTCTCGTTCCTCCATTGATGAGAATATTTTCTCGGCATCTTCAAGTCTACCACATTTTGTATACATGGAAAGAAGCCCATTTTGTATGATAACTTCAGAAGCATATCCTGTTTTCAGAGCTAGACAATGGATCAGCATTCCTTCCTCCAGGCCTGAAATGCTCCCTATTCCTTTCAAAATGCTCGCAAAAGTGTAATGATCAACAGTAAAACCAGCCCACCTCATTCTTGAGAAGCAGGAGAACGCTTCTCCACCGACTCCTAAATTAGAGAAACCGGAAATAACTGCATTCCAGGAGATCTCATCCCATTTCACAACGTTAGAACACAACTTACGGAAATCCTCTAAGCTACAGCTACAACCTGAGTAAGCAGACAGCAACGATACCACCAAGTAATGGTTAGTCTTACAACATTGATGTATTACATGACTGTGTACCTGCTCACAATGAACCAAGTAATCTGAACAAGAAAACGAGCTTAACAAACTCGTATACGTAACACAATTAGCTCTAATTCCCAACCTCAACATTTCCCTGAACAAAATCACAGCTTGAAAAGGACACCGGTATTGCGCATAACCAGTAATCATTGATGTCCAAGTAATAACATTCCTTTCAGTCATTTGATCGAAAACTCTCCTCGAAGTCTCAAGATCAAAACACTTCAAATACATATCAATCAAAACAGTCCCTACAACAAGATTCAAAGCAAAACCAACTTTCCAGCTCAAACCATGAAACTGAGCCCCAATTTCACATGCTTCTAACTGAGCACAACCAACCAACACAGCCGAAACACTCGACGGGGTCGGTCTAATACCCTCTCTCAACATTTCAAGAAACAACACAATCGCATTTTCAGGGTAATGGGTGTCCAAATAACCAGAAATTAAAGCATTCCATGACACTATATTTCTTTCAGGCATTTCATCAAACAGTTGCTCTGCTTCTTTAACATAACCACATTTTCCATACAAATCAAGAAGAGCAGTGTTGATAAATACATTTGAATCAAACCCCATTTTAATAATCTGGCAATGGGTTTGAATTCCAAGTGAAAAAGAACCCATTTTTGCACAAGTGGAGATGATTTGATTGAGGCTAAATTGGTCATGTAGAAGACCATTTTGATGTAAAAAGTCTAAATTAATGTTATTTGATTCATTATATTTTTCTTTGAAACTATGATAAAAGATTTGGTTGGATAATATATTTGCTCGTCTTCCTATGTTGTAGCATAGGTGATTTGCAGGTGTTCTTAGAATCATTATATGTCAAATCATTCCTTGTTTGAGAGGTTGTCCATTTGACTTGCAAGGAGATACTTAGCTCTCGTTTGATCCTAGATTTTGAGAAAGAGACAAGTATTAAAAACACTTAAATTTGGCGCGAATTATTAATAAATTTAAAAATTGACATGCACCAATATATGTTAATTTTTTGTCTCAATTTATGTGATATCATGGAACTTGAGAAGTTATCGAAATTTGTATATGATTTTAAAAATATTTTAAGTTGTTAATTATGATAATTTATACTTTTTACTTAATTTTAAAAATAATATATATTACTCTCTTTGTTTCAATTTAGGTGGCATATATAAGATTTCAAAAATTGGCCATTTTTTATGTCTTTTAAATATATTAAATTGTTAATTATTGTAATTTATATTACCCTTTTAACGTAATTTTCAAATAATACATGTCATTTCCCATGTCCCAAAATATGTGGCATTGATAAATTTTTTGGAGTCAAGTAATTTTTTTATATGTATTTTAATTTTTTTAAATTGTTAATTATTGTAATTTGTAGTACTTTTTACGTCAATTTCAAAAAATATATGTTTATCATCTAATCCATTTTATGTGGTGCCAATAGAATATCAAGAGTTAATCGAATTTTTTTTTATATAACTTTTAAATATTCAGGTCAATTTCAAATAATATATATTTATCATTTAACCCATTTTATGTGGTACCAATAGAATATCATGAGTCAATCGATTTTTTTAATATAACTTTTAAATATTTATATTGTTAATTATTTTGATTTATAGTATTATTTATATAATATTTAAAGTTATAACCAACAAAAAGAATAAGAGAAATAAATTTAATACAAAAAAAATACTAAATAGTAATGAAAAATATTATTATTACAACTCTACTACATATACAAATGTTTAAATTAAAAAACGGAATGAGGCGGCAGATATAGAAAAGTGAGCCCATGAGTTGGGCCCACACAGTTCAACAAAACAGTGGTAATTTTTTAGGGCAAACTACATAAATCCCACTAGTTTAGGTCCTAATTACTCAGATTCCCGATAGTTTTAAATATTACTTCCTCTACCATATTTCATACTTAGGATACATGAGTTTGAATTCGTGAGATACATGTATCTATCGAATTTTAAAATCGAGATACGTATTTTATTTGTTTAAATTAATTGGTTGTAACTGATTTCCTTAATATAAGGCAGAAATCAAGGAGTGTATCTATGTTTAATTAATTTCATTTTATTATTTTTTGAAATAATAAATTCGTTAATATTATTAATAAAAGACAAAAAAACATGTATATCTTGGTCATGCAATTTGATTAATTTCATTTTATTACTCTTAAAATAATAAAATTCATTAATTTGATTTATCTATTATCAATATATGATGTATCCAACAAACAAAACACTTAGATACATGAGTATCAAACAAGTACATTCATATGTATCATAGAAGTATCTAATATTAATTTTGTGTATTTGTTATATGTGTCTAGTATGAATTTCATATATCTATTTATATGATATAATATTAATTTCATGTATCTATTTATATGATATAATTTTAATTTCATGTATCTTTTATATGTATCTATTATTAATTCGATGTATCAAGTATCAATATCATACATTATATTCAAAATCATGTATCTCAGATACATAGTAAACACACATATAATTATGTGTGTCTAAATATGAAATGTAATTGAAACACACGAATTTAGGAACAAATCACGACGGTGGAGTATTTATCTTATCATTAATCCAAAAAAAAGTTTAAAAAATCAAAATTCTCCCATTCTTTAAGGATTTGAATTTTTTTCTCATAGATACATATAATCTTAACTCAGATACATGAACTCTTAACTAGATACATGTACAGCTGATGTGTATCCAACATTGTTGCACTTGATGTGCATCTACTGATGTATTTTTTCTGTTAATTAAAGCTTGGCGTAATTATTTCATCTTGATTGGGTCGTTCCTATACTTAGATCTATTCTCGACTTGAATGTTGGCGTATGAAGAGTCAGTCCCTGCAATGAGAAATTCATGAGTGAAATGAACAAATAACTGTTGTTTGATTTAGTATAATATTGTTAATGTGTAGTACATTTAACGAGAATCATCCGATTTTAGAAATGTTCAACCATTAAAGTGTTTGAGAAACAACAAATTTAAAAATATAAAATCTAATTTATAAAATTTTTAACAAATCCCCACTGTATCTGACAAATATTCATCATGATATGTAAATCCCCAAATCAGAAAATGTTTTAAAAATCACAATATACACGGAAAAATAAAAAAGTTTACATGTCCTAAACCATGAATTTTTGATAAGCATAACAATATATTAAAAATTGAAGTAGAAAAAAATGTACCCGTACATGTATCTGGTTAGCTTCCATTACGTCTTGTTGAACTTAAGAGTCGAATCCTACAACCATTACAAAATGGTTATGAAAAGAAACAAATAAAAATTTCTTTATCGGAAATTTATTGTTCATTAACCATCCCTTAACAAGATTCATACCAATTTTTGAATTATGAGCCATTAAAATGGAATGGAGAAATAACAAATTAAACTCAAACAATGTAAAATTTCTAAAATCTATCGGCTAAAAAAATTTAAATGGAGAAATAACAAACTCAAACAATGCAAAAGGTGTATTGAACTCCTAAGGAAGGAAGGGATACGTGTAGGAGTGGGGAAGAAGGGGCGAGGGTGGGATAGTGTGAATAGGATACAAACGTTTTGGGATTGGGGCTGAATTTAAGAGACATAAAAATAATTTGAATTATTAATGTCCCACTAATTAAGGAGATGTAATTTTAAGATAATTATTTACTATCATTTTTTAAGGAATTGTGTATCTGATTTAATTTTCTAAAATATATGGTATATTTATTAAAAAGTGGTACTCTATATAATATTTTTAAAGTAGAGATAAAATATGTATATATGATAGTATAGTATGTCTATACAGGTAGTTTTTCCAATTTTTTATGGAAAAATTACTTAAATACACAACACTTCTTTACCTATTCTCAATATTTCCCTACTCTTTTACTAAAATACAAAAATCCCTTATTTTCCCCCAATTCAACTTAACCGGATACTTTATTAGTTTAAGTATCCGCCCGTTATTAATTAAAGTATCCGCGCTGCTATATTATGCATCCGCCCGTTAATTAAGTATCCGTGTTGCTAACAACTTAATAATTTAAGTATCCGCCTGTTATTAATTAAAGTATCGCGCTGCTATATTATGCATCTGCTCGTTAATTAAGTATCTGTGATGTTAACAACTTAATAATTTAAGTATCCGCCCGTTATTAATTAAAGTATCCGCGCTGCTATATTAAGTATTCACACTGCTATATTATGTATCCGAAAAACACTAAAAAAAGGGATTTTTGATAATGAATGAAATAGTAGGGAAAGGAAGTAATTTCTTTCTTATACTATGTCATTTGCCTAATTTTTACTTTTTTTATAGGACATATGAGTCATTATGTAAATGTTAATTGATTTTTTGGTCTAATAAAGAAAAGGTACACCTTTAAAGCAAGAGATTACAAAGGCTGACGGAAGGAAAACATAGAAAATTTCAAAAATACCCTTATTATACTCTTCTACTATGTAGTAATATTGAAGGGAAAAAATCATGTGTAGTTCGTGAATGACACGTTTTTGTGTATGAAATGAGAGGGGTGTATTAAAGCTTAATTTGTCAAGTATAGATGTGTTTTTAAAGTTATCAAAAGTTTAAGGACGAAATCAATAATTTGTGCTAAATTTAAAAGTGTATTCAATACTTCTCTTTTTAGAGATGAAATTTGAAACCACTTGAAGATTAGATTTTCAAAATTTGATCGTATTTCATGATCAAACAAATACTCCCTATGCTTCAATTTTATTATACTACTTTGATTTAACACGGAGTTTAAAAATAATTATCTTGTGGTTTTAAATTAAAAATATGGAGAATGTATCAAAATATCTTTCAATCTTAGGGTCCTAAACATATAATGTGGAAAAGTTTAGATTAAAGATTTGTCAAAAAAGGGAAGATACATTTTTTTAACTAGATTGAAAAAGAAAGTATGACAAATAAACTAAAACGGAGAGAGTATTTCAAGATAAGTTTAAAATTTTATAATCAAATGCTAGCTTACTATATTTATTGGCATATCCTACAAAAGGTTAAAAAAAAAAATCACAGGGCACCAATATTTATATGTATCTGAACTTCAGTCATATAAATTTCAGACATAGCAATTCTGAACTTATCCCAAAATGAAACACGTGCAAGAAATTTTCATAAATGGACACAAATGAAATGACAGCATTAAAATCGAGTAATATGTACACTTTACTCCTAAATTTGTGAAGGCATGATCTATCGATCGATCACGCAACACTTATCTCCAATAGAAACTCAATACATTCGATGCAATATTTAAGCTATTTTAAGCATAATAAGATGATCCAAATATAATATTTGGTCGTCTTTTGCTTTCTTATGAATTTTTAAACAAAATATGAGTTTCAATCATTAATATCATATGAGTATCCATATAAAATACAAATTCCACCAATTAATGTATATGGAGCATCTATAACAAATTAGATGACAAACAAGGCGGTGCCAAAAGAATTAAGGTCTCAAGTAATCACTGAATGTGTGTTGGGATTAAAAAAAAAGTTTTTTGATTTGTGCGACATATAAAGATGGAGTCAGAATTTAAAGTTTATGAGTTTAAATTTTAATTTTTTAACGTTAGTGGATTCTAAAATTAATAATTTATTACATATTCAATGTATTTTTTTTATAAATTCAAGGTATGATCTAAAGTTATTGAGTTTGACTGAACTTATAACTAACAGGTTGGATCTTCCCCTAATGATACATGTGGATACATGTATTAAGCTAGATACATGCTAAGTTAGTCCTATAAATACCTAGATACTATAAAACAAAATGTAAGTTAAGTTGAATTGATTGAACAATATATTCCCACTCATATTAAAAAGAATTATCCTTCCTCGATTTTGCAACAAGAACATGTAATATAAACATACATCAAAATATATAGTATTTTACGAACATTAAGATGTCACCTCGTATACTTATATAGTTGGGGTGATTGCGACGCAATCGAGCTCTATTCGCACCTTAATCTTTGTTCTCATAACACATCACGATGCCATTATGAATAATCCTAATATATTTCTAAAAGATCTTCCTTTAAAAAAAAATAAAATTGTGACATGAAGCCATCACAAGCATACCTTAATGATTTTAGTAGGTAATCTCGCAATGCAAGGCAGTGACCAGAGGCGGACTCACCTTTAAAGTTGTGGTGCACATGTAAATATACTTTTAAATTTATAATTTTTAGGGATAATGCATAAGTACCTCTAGACTATGACCAAAATCTCAAAAACACACTTTAACTAATCTAAGGTCCTATTACCTCCCCCACCTTGAACTCATTATTTGTGTAATTTTGTACACATTTTGGCTTACATGACACTTTTGTGACTCCACTTAGGTGAGGCGCGTGGGAGATGTTTGGAGGCCACGTAGGCCAAATAGGTGTACAAAATTACTAAAAAATGAGTTCAGAGGGTAATAAAATCTTAATTTAGTTAAGGTGTATCTCTAAAATTTCGGTGATAGTCTAGGGATACTTGTGCCTTAATTTTTTAGGTTATTATTGTCATTTCGGTAAAAGAACAACTTATCAACCTTATATTTTCAATTTCAGAATTTATTTACAATCAACTAATCCAAATACTTTTCTCTTTCTCTCAAAATGCAGTTCAATTGACTAAAGAATTTCTACTTATCCAAAGCATATGAGAGAAATGGTGATTGGCACCAAAGCAACAGACATATACACAAAACTTCTCGAAACCTATGCTCAAAATGGCGTTTTGCAATTAGGCAAAGCATTACATGCACACTTAATCATCAATGGATTGGCTCAAAGAACTCATTTTGCTTCAAAGCTTATTGCTTTTTATGCAGAATGTAAACAGTTATCCCATGCACGTAAACTGTTCGATAAAATTCCCAAATCAGATACTCGTCGTTGGATCGTTCTCATTGGGGGGTATGCTCGTCGTGGGTTTTACGAGGAAGCAATGGGTGTTTTTTATGAAATGCAAAGGAGTGGAAAGAAGCCGAATAAGTTTGTTCTTCCTAGTGTACTTAAAGCTTGTGGACGCTTCAATGATTTTCGAACAGGGGAGATATTGCATGGTGTGATTCTGAAGAATAAGTTTGAATTTGATTCGTATGTGGTTAGTGCATTGGTAGATATGTATTCAAAGTGTGGTAGAGTTGAGAAGGCAAAAAGGGTGTTTAATGGTACGGTGGATAAAGATTTGGTCGCGTTGAATGCTTTGGTTTCGGGTTGTATACAACAGGGGATTGTTAAAGAAGCATTTGATTTGGTTGAGGAAATGAAAGTTCAAGGTATGAAGCCTAATGTGGTGACATACAATACTCTGATTGCAGGGTTTTCACAAGAAGATGATCGAAGTATGGTTTGTAAAGTTGTTGAATTGATGCATGATGATGGCCTTGAGCTAGATGTTGTTTCTTGGACTAGTATTGTTTCCGGGCTCGTGCAGAATTTTCATAACAAGGAAGCTTTTGATACGTTTAAGCGAATGTTGGATGATGGGATATGTCCAAGTTCAGCTACGATTAGTAGCATATTGCCTGCTTGTGCAACTGTGGTAGATTTGATTCGTGGGAAGGAGATACATGGTTACGCGGTAGTGATGGGGATCGAGAAGGATGTATACGTAAAAAGTGCCCTCATAGACATGTATGCAAAATGTGGATTTATATCTGAAGCAAAGCACTTGTTTTCTAAGATGTGTGAAAGAAATACAGTAACTTGGAACTCGATGATTTTTGGCTACGCGAATCATGGGTATTGCAGCGAAGCAATTGAATTATTCAATCAAATGTTAAGAGAGGAAGAGAGGAAACCAGATCACTTGACTTTCACAGCAGCTCTCACTGCTTGTAGTCATGCTGGACTTGTGCAGTATGGAGAAAGTTTGTTCAAACTGATGCAGGAAAAGTACACGATAAAGCCAAGATTGGAGCATTTCGCGTGTATGGTGGATCTTTTAGGGAGAGCAGGGAAACTCGATGAGGCTTACGATTTGATTCAGACCATGTCAATTGAACCTGACTTATTTGTTTGGGGAGCATTATTAGGGGCATGCAGGCAGCACGGAAATATGGATTTAGCAGCGGTTGCAGCTGAGAAATTGGCTAAACTTGAACCTGAGAGTGCTGGAAGTAGTGTGTTGCTATCAAGTTTATATGCTGATGCAAATAAGTGGGTAAACGTTGCTAAGGTAAAAAGGGTGATCAAGAAGAAGAAACTGAAAAAAGTTCCTGGCTGTAGTTGGGTAGAAGTTGCATAAGTTTTCAGATTGCTAGAGAAGCTGAAGATCAGTCGAGTACGCGATCTTGGATTGAAGGCGTGCCTCGAAGGGGAGGTGTTGATAAATCAATGGTTGGTTTTGCTCCCTAGTCTCAACTGATACATACAAGGGGAAAATGCACCATTCAACAAAGAGGCAAGCAGTTTCTTTACTGAACAATGCCTAGAATCAAGGTGATCACAACATAGATTCCGCGGGATTCAGGATCTGAGTTGAGTCATTACATACCATCTTGAGTACCAGTTCGGTTTCTAAGGACGCTACAAAGTGCTGGAAATGAAACAGTTTGTAGAGGAAATCAAAGAATATACAGATAGGCAAAGCATTACAGAAATCCCATGCACTTTGGGTCCTCAAAGGCTTGTCCAGACTTCCTATTAAAGAAGGACCCTACGTCTGAAGAGGGGTTGTATGGTCTGAAAATCAGAATATAAGGTGTCTTTTGGATGATAGGCTAGTATTTTCATGCTGCATTCAGCTCGGTGCACTAAGCTCCCGCTATGCATAGGATTCGGGGATGGGCCTGACAACAAGGGTCTATTGTACGCAATCTTATCTTGCTTCTCTGCAATATGCCATTTTCACCGCTCAAACTCATAAGCAACAACTTTCTTTATCAGCTATCCCTTCCTCGGCTTTGAGCTTATAAATTGCAGAATACATGTACCGGGATTTGAGAAATTAATATTACTAATATGTTTTAGGGAACCTTGAAGGAACGGTAAAGTTATTTGTGAGTGGAAATATGTGTTTCGTCTATGCAATGATATGAGGAACCAAAATGAAACAATTAATCTATATATGTGCTTTTAACAGAAACTTCTCTTGTATTGATAGAACACATAACATAAATTTTTCATGGTGTTTGATTACCAAAAAATATTTTTCAAGAGAAGCATTTTTCCATTGAAAGTGAATAGGGAGAAATCATTTTCTTTTCAACTACCATATTACTTGCTTCAACTCATACTTGGACATTACAATTAGTAATTAATACTCACAAATTTCATCCAACACCTTACTCTATGCTCATAGTATCATTAGTAGCAACATACTTTTCCAGTCACCAACCAGGTCCTAACACCAGAAAGTGGAAACAATTTCCTAGAAAATATTACCAGACATTTTTACAGAAGGAACTTCTCATTAGAAATGAATTCCATCATATCAAATGCCCTTTGATTAGAAAAGGGCAGCAAGAAAATCACAACATAAAAGAGTAGAAATTCGATCAAACCAGTGATACCAGTAAGTTACAAAAAAAGGACGCGTGATCCTTGTGCTCCTAGGCAAATCCAGCAAGAGACTGCAAAACCCCTCTGTCGTGGAGGATGAAATAGGTTATCTTTGATCTTGTGACTTCTCTGGATTACAGTTATCCATTGCTTGATAAACCGCACAGCACAGAGAATGATTGCATACCTACAATCAAGTTCAACAATATGGTTTCTATCCATCCAGAGAATAAGAAAAAGGCAAATGAAAAGCGGTCAAGAAAATAAATGGACACAGGATTCTATACTGGTTGTATCCTTCATAATATCTCTATGAAAAATGGCATATCTAGTAGAATAGCAGAGCAAGCACAAATTGCAGATGTTCGTTGTACAAAGTATACATGATAAGTAAATTTACCATTTGTATGATAAAGAAACATAGCAATTACCCACGCAGGATCTTCTACCAAATAAGTAACCAGAATACAGAAAACACCTGAATGAGTCAATTACCATCCAACAAGAACAAGAAACATAGGGACTGTATATTTCATCAAGAACAAGTGCATACCTAACCAGGACATGTTTAATAAGCAAAACCTAAACATGGTCTACTAATGAGGTAGTAAAGAAAAATCAAAATATTCAGACTAAGACAAAATAGAAAATGAGTTGTTAATAAAGCCAAGAAATTTGAAGAAAACCATCTCCCTTGTAAATGGGGTTGAGATAGTGTGAACAACATTGATACCTGCATCAATCTAGATGACCTACAAGATCGAGAAGAAAGGATGTCAACTTCCACTCATTTTCTAAGCAGCCACCATCACAAGTGGTTACTTTACAAAAAGAGGTCCAAATTGCACAAGTTATCAGAATCATTTCAAATTCCACATTAATTCCACGAGTTGTGATTCATTGCATCAACATGTACATTTTAGACTAATGCAGAAAGACAAATAGCATCTATTTTAGCTGGAGTCAGTTATAGTATTCAGACATTTTTCATAGTTAAATTATTTTTACATCGGCCATTAATCCTCCTTTATCTGAGCTTAGGACCGGCTACAGCCTGCAAAGCTCACATGGTCAAAGTTTCAAACCGACAGAAGTTGCATAAAATATATTCTTCAAATTTTAACACGAAAGGAATATTAAGAAGAGAAAGCACTAAAGAAGGTGCAATACAACATCTTACAATCAGCCGAATTTTACCTATTCGCTGAACTAGCTTACACAAAGGAAAAGTGCAGACAAACACATTTACATAGTCCATAGCTAACATATACATATAAATCACAAGGAGGAAAGGCTACACATTCACAATATAAGGCTTCAAGCTCAAGCAACACTACCAAAGAAGTTACTAGCAGTATCTTGATACTGTGAACCAAGTGATGCACAAAAGGTATTCATCATCAAAAGCTCCTCATATCCACATGATTTCTGTCACACCTTTGATGGTCAAAAATATATGTATGTATATTAACAATACAAAGAAGACACAAAATTGACTAATTCATCTAAGCCAAAATAAGATATTCAGTTAATGAGTCCTCCCAAAGAATATTGTATCATGTTCGTTAAATAAGGGGAAACATGGCAGCAGACTATGGATTCTTCCCATTTGTCCTAGTGATGATGGACAGAGTAACCTAGTACCTGTTGCTGGTGGGAGATGATGGTATTCCATGGAATTAGTCGCAGTGTGCGAAAGCTGGCCCGGACACCACATTATCAACGACAAGAATAACAGGGCAGCAGATTATTTAGGTGTATTGGAAAACTTTAAGCCGCCTTAGAGAAAATGTAACCACATGAAATTTTGTCATTTGTACGTAAAATTTAATATAACACAACCACTTAGGAGCCAAAAAGTTGGCCAATGATGTATGGTACAATCAATTATTGTGTTAAGAAAGAAAATATAACCATGAAGTGGTGAAGTAGGGTATTTATGCTTCATATACCGTGTTAGGCAGCAGACAAGTTCCTAACGTATTATTGAGCCTTTGATCACAACTGGAAACAAATATCTAATACTAACAATAAGCAAAATGCGAACACTTATCATTAAATGCCATGCGTAGTGCAACACTTGAGATCCAATAGAAACAAGTAACTCATAATGTATATCTGGTAGAACATTAGATACAGCAGAAACATTTCTAGAATGCAGAAATATGATCGCAAGGAAATCGATATCAACTAAAGTGTTACAACAGCTACCGCTACAATATGTTAGAGGCTAAAAGAAAGAATTTTTTTTTTGCTTTACTAGCTTCATTACAAAGTTAGAACGGGTTGATCCCTCTTGAAGTGCTAGTTGTGGCGCAGAAAAGGCATTATATGTTCTTACTTGACCATCCACTTTAGTTTGCATCAATTTCAAGAGATCAGCAAAAAAACTATTCTTTTAGTATCTTAGTTTCTGCAGCTATAGAAATTAGATTAGGATTTTTTATCAGCAACAATACACTTCCAAGGCAATGAAGATCAGTGAATGACCACCAGATATCCGTTACACGCCAATAATTTATTAAAAAGTTCGACTCATACTATATCGCCACTCTAACTGCCAGATAAAATGTTCTATGGCCTGAAAATTCTTAGAAGTAGTTTGCTTTTTGCTATAGTAAAATTTTTGCAATCGACCAAAAAGGGGTAATAAAGAAGATGTAAGAGTCAGCAGTCACTCCTACATCGTCTACACCCACTTCTAGGATAAAAACTGGTTTTGCCGTCAATTCATCTATTAAAAACACATCGGCACACCAAAAGATACGTTACAATACTTACCAACACAAAAAGAAAAAGAGAATCCCGTTATTTGTACTACTTTTCAAGAAAAGTGTGATCAAAACGACAATTTTATCATGTATTATGTCCTAAAGCTCCTTTCTGAATAAGAAGCTACAATCAGAAATGACCTAGCTCTAAGAACTTTAGAGCAATTTATGAAACTTTTTACCTATAAATCTACCAAATCTAAACAAGTAGTAAGAAAAAGGCCTAAAGGGTTTAACTGGAATTCCTAGTTTGCATTCCACCAAATGAGATTTCTGACGAGCAATCCAGTGTTCAACCCTGTACAAATAATTAACTATTGTAAGCATACAAAAAGTTATCAAACAGTAGAGTTGCAGCAACTTGTATAGAATCAAGAATCTAACCTCCTTTTTGTGTCTACAGCTATTTTTCACCAGGAGCAACATGATGATAAGAACCAAATTTATTTCCAGACCAGTCCCGCGGTTGCCCCATATTATACTGATGATGAAACCCATGTCCTGACATTCCCATCATAGGCATTGGCACCATTTGCGGCGGATACATCATTGGCATAGGCATAGGCATTGGCATATGTCCATTACTACTATGAGCATTACCACTGTGTCCATTACCACCGGACTGCTGCAAACTCTGTGGCACAGGCGTGGAAGCGAACAAATGATCAGACGACGAAGGACCCTCATTCGATAACCCTTGCATTCTCTTCAAATACAACCTATACTTCTGTAAATGACTAGCAACATTTTCCCTTGTTAGTCCTTCCACATTCATCAGCTGCATAATCGTCTTCGGCACAGCATTTTTAATCCCTAAATGCGCCACAACATCCACAAATCGCTTATGCAGCTGTGGCGTCCAGACTAACCGCGGCCGCTTCAACGTCTTAGCTGAATTATCATCTCCACAATTCTCATTCCTCAATGCCGAATCAGCCTCTTCAGTAACCATCTCCGGGTCAATCCTCCGTGTCTTCCTCGACTCGGATCCATCTCTTGTCAGATCCACCTCATCATTCTCATGATTCCTATCTCCATTCCTTCCTTCATTAAAATTAAACTTCTCCGACAACAAATGTAACTGTCCTGCACGGAGAGACGAAAAAGTACTCTCCGAAGCACGATTCACATCCGTCATCGTCTTCACCGGCTCCGGCGTAATTCTAAACGCCGACGCTAGCTCCGGCGGGATTAAAACCTGAGATAACGGCGTCAGATCGTCAAAACTCGGAAGTCCGTCTTCCCACTCGACAACACGATTATCATCTCCGGCGAAACCATCACCATCCGTAATTGTCACTTCTTCACCCATAGAGAACCTTCTCGAATCCCAATTTTTTTTTCTTTTAATTTTATTTCTTCGAGTTAAATCCAATCTTCCGTGATATCAGTAGAGGATTGGATCAGAGTAACAGGATTTTCCGGTGAGTTCACCGGCGGGAAGAAATTGGGGGTGAGAGGGGGGTGGGGTATGTGGCGGTGGAAAATGAGGAATATAGTATTAAATAAAGGGGGAAAAGTGTGAGAAAAAGTGCAATATCTGATTCTAAATTGGCCCAGCAATCGCCAGCGTGGATGATTTAGCTAGATATTTTTCCATCTTTCTTACTAGAATCTTATAAATATCTATTTCTTTTTCTCAACTTTACTTTATTTTTTTCTTTTTTGGTTGAAAAGATGCTTATATTAAATGTGTTTTTTTTTTTAAAATCGTAATTTTGAAAATTCAAAAATCATAAAATTGAAATTGTGATTTTGCTTCTATAATTATATAAGTATAAGAATGTGTTATTGTTTTTTTTAAAAAGAACTAATGAATAAAAATGTCAGAAATGAAATCAAAGAAGTACTAATTATTTGACAAAATGTATCTTTAGGCCAAATCAAGAAAAATATTACTCATATTACATTATTTTACTTTATTAAATTTTGTGTTAAAGTTAAAATTAGAAAAATATATTAAAATTGTGTGAGCAGTAAGTATTCTCAATTCTTTTATTTTTACTTATTTATAATTTTTAAAAATTACTTATATATTAAGTAATATAGATATTATAATAAAATATTTATTTTTTAGGAGATATGTTAAATTTAAAAATAGACAAAGAAAAGTGAACAAAAAAAAGTAAAAAATATCTAAATCTCTTTCTCACTTTTTACTGATGAACTTTCCAACTGGAATGTGTCAGGTGTCTATTTATAGATTTTTTGTCCTTTTCTTTTGGTACTTTTTGCAAGAATCAGTAACTAATTGTCCTAAATACACAATCTTATTTATGAATTCCTACTTAATTTTCTCAAAGAAAATAGAACTAGGTAGGCATTTCAACATTGAATTAGGAGTTCAAATTTGAAGTTTTAACTTGAAATAAGTAATTATTTATTTTAATTTTATTTTAATTTTAATTTCAAATTATAATTTGAAATCTCAATTTCTTTAAAAAGTTGAATTTTAAATTAAAAATATTCCATTTTAAATTTTTTTCAAATGTTAAACTCGGTCCATATAAATTTATATTTGAAAAAAAAAGACTCACTTTTAGTTTTTGAAAGAAACGTCGCATAGTTGATGTGAAGAAATTGTTTTTACCAAGTGGGAGGATTATAATTTTTAAAAATAGTTAGTTATTGCAATTGTTGATTTATTGGATAAGTGGATTTTTGTAAAAGTATGTGTCTTAGAGATAATTTAGTACTTTATTTATGAACTATGTTTTGTTGATTTAGTTAGATTGTATACAAGTTTGGGAAGTTTTGATAGATAATGGAATTTTTATGTTTATGAGAAAAAATACAAACTTAAAATATTCAAATTTCATCTTCAAACAAAATTCAACTTTGAATTCACCCATTTTCATATCAATGATTTGAAATCATGTTAAATAGGGCCCTAAGTACTCTATACTCCCTCCGATGTGAAATATGATTCTATTTGAATTTACGTGATCGTAATTTAATTGAACATAAATTTAAGTAATAAAAATAAACTTTTCAATGAAGTGAATGTCATGGACAATGAGACCAGCTTTGCCATGGAATTTGGAGGTACAATGGAGTGTGAACACACTTGTTGCTATAGTCTACGAGTTTTGGATGGAAAAACCTAAAAATTTAATGAATTTTTGTAATTTGAAAAAGAATAGAAATATGATGTAATTAAATCTTAACATTATAAGATTTGTGTAATTTTTACCATTAAAATACCCATGAGTTTGACACAAAATTTTCATTTTTATAATGAATTACTCTCACTTGAATCGAAACCTTTATGTGTAGGTAGGCTTTTATCAACTCTAATTGCCTACCTATCAGAATAATTATTCAAAAACCATCACACGAAATTTGAATAAAAACTACCAATAACACAATTATCAGCTATTACAATTTATCAAATTATAATTAATTATAAAGATCCATCGATGCTTCTTCCTGATTTCCTCCTTTATAAAAGAAAAAAAAATAGCAAAAATAGAAGACGTACAAAATTCAAAGATAGCATGCACAAATTTTCAATCAAACTTAAACTTGTGACTCTTGAAAAATGAAAAAAAGCCACATAAATTGAGGCAGAAGAAGTAGTAGTTATGATAACAAAGGTAATTAATGATAATGGCATTGTGAATAGAGTGATAGGTGAACATTATTCATACAAAAATATTTCTTATTGATATTTAAGATTTTGTTCTGAGATATTAATAATTAAAATCTACTCCGACAAATAAGTGCATAAATCATAATATAAAGCAGATAAAACTAATGACCCAAGAGCAAATATATAATATGAAAGGTTAAATCAATCAACAAAAACAACAAACAGCGACATATATCCCTTCCACACTTGATCAAAAGTCTCAGATTCAAGTCCCAGAGTATGGAAAAGAATCTTACTAAGATCATATGCAGTAAATTCAGATTAGTCGGGGCTCCAATGCATACACCAGAAATGCATGGGAAAACAAATAAAAACATGATTCCACGTCACCAAATGGACAAACATAAGCAAATCCAATTGCAGATTAAAGAGTATCAAATAAATCCACATAAAATGATAAAAGAGTAGAAAACTGAGGATCTGAGATGAAGGAAAATATACTTGGCCATAAAAGAAAAATTGTCAAATACCATACAATAAAATTCTGACCTTCCCCTAAAACATCAACTCTCCAACAAAGGCAACATTTTGTACAGTCGCGTCGATGTAAAACTACCTCGCCTTTTTATCTTCCTTTTTTTACACCCTTTCGGAAACTCAACTTCCCTCTGCACAGCCATCTCGAATATTTGACATCTGAGCTTCAGCATACCTGATATTTATGTTTTTAACTACACAATGTACATCTCCTCTAGTACATGCAACAACTTTTATTTGCAAATAACAAAACACAGATGTGGAAGATAGGTAGCTCAAACTAGCCTCAGTTAGCTGTACAACTTTCTTTTCCTACAAGACTAAGCAGTACTTAGGGACTGCGCAGCAATCCTCCTTTCTGCAAAACAGTATAGAAAAATCATTTAGCAGACGTTCGGACAATATTCAGTTGAAAGCTGAATAAAAAACAAGTTATTGAAGTCGAAGTTGGAGAACGAGTATTTGCAAGTTGAATTGTATCTGGACATGAATCACTTGGAAAAAAGGTTGGGAGATTTATAAGTGAAACAAATTTTTCATGTAAAGTCATGGCCAAACACCATATAGTACTAAAAGCACAAATGGATTCAGTGCTCTAGACAAGTACAAACAGAAAAAGAGCTCACCCCCAGCAGCAACTAGCTTTTCAACACGGGCAACAATATGCTTTCCGTAAGTGTATTTCTTCAGAGCATTCAAGTGAACTTTTATTCTCGACATGATCAGCTCGCGTTGCTGGTCACTACAAGTTTCCAGAACTTTCTGTACTACATAATTTGCAAACTGATCTTTCATCATAGCCTGGACAAAAAGAAGAAAGACGTGAAAAAACAATGCATAACTCCACGAGATGATTTCAATTAGAGAAAAGAGAAGAGAAAGAAGACTATTTAAAAGTTTATATGTTACAGCTGCTATCAAAATCACAACCATAGATACATGAGGTAGTACTTCTTAAGATAAACTCTATTCCCAAAGATGCAAAAGTTAAAGCATAGATATTGTTGAGATCCAATAATTATATAGAAAACTCGGGGTATCTTGACATAGAAAACACTCCGGGCGAACCACCACCACCCACCCCACCCCACACCACTTGTTCCATCTTTTTTTGAGGAGAGTTCCAAGACATCAGTCTAAGCATCCAAAATCAAGTATTAATTGGTCACAAGACTTAAAAAAAATTCTTTAAAGGGGACCAAACATGTCAAGATGTCAAAAAGCACGAGCAAAATACAAAGGTCAGAAGAGCCAACTACCCCCTGCCGCCAACCATGATATGTCTGGAATGGTGAACAAATTAACACCTAAAATCTTATGCAACATCACCATGCACCATAGTTTCTAATGTCTTTTAGCAACATGTCAAGGGTAAGTCCAATGCTCATCCAGCAAGTGTTAAGAGAAGTTTAGAAATTATAGCCAACACCTATCATTTCTTGTGCTTAATTTCGAATTCAACATAATCCCATTATTTTGGTTTGAAATAAAGCAATAGAGTTCAAGATCTTATCTTCAATTTGGCAACAGTTGGTTTTCAGATTTTTCTGGGTTAATTTTGGAGGTAGGAAACCAAATAATAGAAGAATCAGGATTGATGAATGATCGTTTGGTAACTTCATCTTCAACCACTTCTTGCTTTTCAAAAACATGTGCCACAAAATATCGGGTATAAGCTATGACTTGTGATCATACCATCTAGGCTACCTATCTTTTCTTCCATGTTCAACCGTTTTAAGAGACTGATATCCCATTCAAGCTAAGTCCTAAAAATAAAACAGCTGGCTGCCTTAGCGATTAATCTGAGACTGCAACGCCATGCGTCTCAACAGGAACAAGAACAGGAACATAAACAGAGGTAGTGAACTTGATAGGGTACATATGTCAATAGAGGCCCACCAAAAGATAACAATCATTAGTTCAGCAATCTCTAGGTTCAAACATCCTATCCAGCAGCTTCAAAATATCCTCAACCAAGCTTGCTACCTCAGGATTTGGAAATCCAGGCAGGTGCATACAAGTGTTTAAAAGTTCAACAAATGCACAACATAGGTGGTTTATACTCCATCCTCACACAACAACAACATCATACCTAGTGTAACTGGGTCTGCGGAGGGTGATGTGTAAGCAATCTTACCCCTATCTTGTGAAGGTAGAGAGGTTGCTTCCAATAAAAAAATTAAAGTTTCCATATACGTAATCTTGAAGCAGTACTGAATATTATGAACCTAGTAGCCATATGCAAATCAAAATCCTGCTTAAATGGTAAAATATTGAATAAAATTTAGACAAACCTGAAGAGGCTCATTTTCATCAGTTGTGCCAAGCATCTCATTCACCAATAGCTGT